AGAATGAGATTTTACACTGTGAGTCTGGAGTCTAACGTGTGTTTATCATGGACGGCTCTGGAACAAATGGTGTGTGTTGTTTAGATGCTACCCGGGTAAACTCACCTGAATTCTGCTTCCACACAAGTGTATCCGACCTGGGTCCGGGGAGGGCAAGGCCAGCCAGGGCTGGAGAAGCGGAGCATTGAAAGGCATCTGAAGACAATGGAGGGACACTTCTGGAAAAAGGCAAACACAGCCCAACCCATGCATCCATCTGCTGGTCCTGAGCAGCAGCGTGGAGACACTTCCATCATCCGGGTTCTCCCGACTTCAGATTGGCCACAAATACTCAAATTAACCTCAGTGCTTTAGGGAATGCTCAGAAACTAACATGACGACACACACCAAGCATTTTTATAATACTTGATATGTAAAGGCACTTTTTGAAGTTGTTTTTGTTTTTGAAATATTTACTCCTTGAAATGGAGATTTAAGGAGGATAGGGCAAATATTGTCAGGCTGGTTTTAAAGTAAAAGAAATTGGATGTAGAAGGGAAAGTTGGGTTGTTTATTGTGGTTTACTGGAAGAAGGCTGACTAACTCCCAGATCACCATCCCTCCACCATAATATTATTTCTACTGGGATAAATATTGAGATGTATTAACAAATAAAAGATATGCTGTTAATAATAAGTAGCCTTGAAAACAGTCTAGCATCGTAGTTGATGCTAGAACATGGTTTGGCACAAGGAAGAGAAAACTGTGCCCTTTAGCTTAAGAAACAGACATGACAGCCCACCACGAGGATGTGAGAGCAAAGAAGGCCACCAGGCCTGGGTTGGAGGGAAGGAATTATCCATCAAGCGGCCTCTGTCCTCCGTCCGTCTCGCACTCCTCTCTGGACCAGGCCTGGGTTGGAGGGAAGGAATTGTCCCTCAAGCGGCCTCTGTCCTCCGTCCGTCTCGCACTCCTCTCTGGACCAGGCCTGGGTTGGAGGGAAGGAATTGTCCCTCAAGCGGCCTCTGTCCTCCGTCCGTCTCGCACTCCTCTCTGGACCAGGCCTGGGTTGGAGGGAAGGAATTATCCCTCAAGCGGCCTCTGTCCTCCGTCCGTCTCGCACTCCTCTCTGGAGACCGCATTCTTTTCCTGTTGATTTGTGTCTCTCTGCCATCCCTTGAGGCTCAGTCACCGTGAGGTCTGGCTCCCAGGCTAACGATTTCTCAGTAGCCCTATTGCAAATCACTGGAAGAAGCAGGAAGCCTAGAGCAGCACCCTGAGCGGCAGGTGCGGATTGCTTGCTGATTCACAGTCACCTGGAGCCGCATTCCAACAGGGACTGTGGACAGCGGTAGAAGTAGGAGTAAGGAGGTGGACATACAGTAACTATGATAAAGCATATCGGCATAAGCTCTCCATAAGTATTTTCATATAATTAAAAACCAAAAAGAAGACTGTACACCTGGATCCATTGTAATAAAATGCCATTTTCAGTTCAAGAGCATCATTAGTAAGTACAGGCTCTAATTTTTGGCACTTCAGCTAAAAACTCCTCATGGATTTAGGGGTGATTCAGAGAAGAGCTGGAACTTCAGATTTTTCAAATAAAGATAAATGGGGGCATTAACTCAGTAGATTAAAGATAATTTTAAAAAATAGATATAAAGGGGCCAGCGCTGTAGTGTAGCAGGTAAACCCACCAGCCACAGTCCTGCCATCCCATATGGGCGCCAGTTCAAGACCTGGCTACTCCACTTCTGATCCAGCTCTCTGCTGTGGCCTGGGAGAGCAGTGGAAGATAGCCCAAGTTCTTGGGCCCCTGCACCCGCATTGGAGACCCAGAGGAAGCTCCTGGCTCCTGGCTTTAGATCGGCACAGCTCCAGCCATTGTGGCCATTTGGGGAGTGAACCAGGGGATGGAAAATCTTTCTCTTTCTTCCTTTGCATCTTTCTCTAACTCTGCCTTCAAAATAAATAAATAAATCTTTAAAAAAGTAGATATCATATTTAAAGATTCAAAAAGGCTCACGTTGAAAAGTTAACCTCCCTTCCAGCTGTAAGCACAGCCACCAATTCCCCTTATTGGAGGTAACAGCATTATCAACTCTGGCACATCCTTCAGGCAGTGTGCTCTCTGCATCAGCACCTGACCCACGCCTGGTTTCTCAGTATGCCTTAGAGCCCATTGCACCAGAGCACCTGCAGCCACCTCCTTTATGACTGGCTGCACAGTACTGCTGGGGGGGCCAGTGCAACTTTTAGCCAGTTTCCTGTTGATGACATCAATATGTTTCCAGGCTTTTCTGCTATTGCTCAACTTGTATATATCAGATTTTTAAAAAACAAACAAAAAACCAATGAGTTTCTGTATGATTTAATTCTTAGAAATGGAATTTCAAACATTTTTAATTCTGAAAGAAACTGCCGAACTACCCTCAGTAGAAATTTTGCTAATTCTTTATAACAGCGTTGCTTTGCCCACATTTTTAGTTGAACATGTAGTTACAATACTATTAGGTCTAGACTTTGTGGGAAATGTCTTCAGTGTTATCTTCTGATCTCCTGTTGACATCTTTATTTAATATATAGATTATCATGTCCTTAAGTATTTATTGGAAAAGCAGAGTGACACACACACAGAGAGAGTGAGAGAGAGAGGAAGAGAGCTCCTATCTGCTGGCTCACTCCCCAGAGGCCCACAACCGTCTTAGCTGGGTTAGATCAGAGCCAGAAGCCAGGAACTCCATCCTGGTCTCCCACATGGGTGTCAGGAACCCAGGTGCTTGGGCCATCGTGTGCTGCTTCCCAGGCACATCAGCTGGAAGCTGGATTGGAGGCTGTGATGGAGACGTAACTGGACCCCAGGTACTCAGGGGATTCACGCATCCAAGGTGATGGCTTTACCTGCCGCAACACCTATTCCATGTATTTCTTTTTAAAAAAGATTTATTTATTTATTTGAAAGTCAGAGTTACACACACAGAGAGAAGGAGAGGCGGAGAGAGAGAGAGAGAGAGAGAGAGAGAGAGAGGTCTTCCATCCACTGGTTCACTCCCCAGATGGCTGCAATGGCCAGAGCTGCGCCGATCTGAAGCCAGGAGCCAGGAGCTTCCTCCAGGTCTCCCACGTGGGTGCAGGGGCCCAAGGACTTGGGCCATCTTCCACTGCGTTCCCAGGCCATAGCAGAGAGCTGGATCAGAAGTGGAGCAGCTGGGACTTGAACCGGCGCCCATATGGGATGCTGGCACTGCAGGTGGCAACTTTACGTGCTACGCAACAGCGCTGGCCCCCCATGTGTTTCTAAAAATACATTAAACTTTAAAAAAAATTCCTGCTCCCCCTCCCCCCACTTATTTATTTATTTTTGGCAGCAGAGGTTGTAGAGAGGAGCTCTGCTCTCATCTCTCCTGTTGGAGACCTTCCTGAAATGTTTAGTGGTCCTTAAGAAGCTGTGTGTTCCTATTGAAGAGTCCGGGATCTCTCCCTAATCTCCTTGGTTTAATTCTCCAGAACAAAAGTCCGTCCTCCCTTGGAGTGGGCGGCGGGTGGTAGCTTCAGGCGTCACTGAAGCTGAGAATCTGCGCTGTTCCTTATGCAGACTGTAGTAGGATCCTGAGTTTGGAGGCGTTTCTCAACCCCTCTTTCCCTCAGTAACAGGTGTCCCCAATTTCTTCACTTTCCGGAGTTCTGGGCCACTCAGCCGGCTGCTGCTGTCGTCAGCTCTTCCGGCAGGCCGCTCCAGTCCTCTCTGCTTAGCTACCTCAGTTGCCAGTTGTCCTTTCCTGCCCCCATCTTCCAAAACTTCTCATATGGTATCTCCTCTCCCATTGTTCTTGTTCTTTATTGTAATTTTCAGAAGTGTTTGGCCGTAGCACAGATACACACACACACACACACACATATATATGTATATTCAATTCAGTTGATTTAGAAGATAATAAGTTTGTTTTTAAGCTATCAGAAGCTCTGCCTGTCTTATGGGTATATTTCAAAACAAATAACATTGATAGGAAAGAAAAGTACTAAAACATAATTCTTTACAAATATTTTTGCTTAGATTTAACTCAGCCCCAAATCCCATTACAATTTTTTAAAAATATCTATTTATTTATCTGAAAAGAGCTACAGAGAGGAAGAGAGAGAGAGAGCAAAAGAGAGATCTTCCATCCACTGGTTCACCACCACCTACGCTTAAGTAGAGTATTCTTTTTTTTTTATTTTTTGACAGGCAGAGTGGACAGTGAGGAAGAGACAGAGAGAAAGGTCTTCCTTTGCCGTTGGTTCACCCTCCAATGGCTGCCGCGGCTGGCGCACTGCGACTGGCGCACCGCACTGATCCGAAGGCAGGAGCCAGGTGCTTCTCCTGGTCTCCCATGGGGTGCAGGGCCTAAGCACTTGGGCCATCCTCCACTGCACTCCCTGGCCACAGCAGAGAGCTGGCCTGGAAGAGGGGCAACCGGGACAGAATCCGGCGCCCCGACCGGGACTAGAACCCGGTGTGCCAGCGCCGCAAGGCGGAGGATTAGCCTAGTGAGCCACGGCGCCGGCCTAGTAGAATACTCTTATATACTCTGCTACATTATAGTGGCTTTTTATGGCAAATATAATTGCCGCAACTCAACAATGAGCATCAAATCTGTGTATGCAGTATTAGATTTAAAAAGGCTCGCTTGCTAAGTGAAGTCTCAATTAAATTCAGCAAAAAGTACCTCAGATGCCTCGGTTGATCTAACAGAAGTACTTGAAAATGCTTACGTTACTGATTTCCAGAAGGAGCAGGAATATTTCTTCTGGAATGTGAAACCACAGATAGAATTGCATCTCTCCAGGGAAGCGGACGCAGTGGTTACACAGTCAGCCTTTCTCATCTGTAACATGATAACCAAATTTATTACTACACTACTTTGGTAGAAAATTCTCTCCTTCAGTATGTTTTTTGACACACTTGAGCAGACATCTGATGCTATCCCCCCCCCCCAATTTAATTTTCCCGTTGTTCTAAAACTTTAGATTTTTTTCTCTTCCTCAAATCCTCAGGTCCATCACGAGGACTCAGTGGCCCAGACACGTGGCACTATCAAGAAGTCATCAGCAGAAACTATTTAGAGTTTTGAAAGCAGTTTTACTCTTTAGAACTCTTGAATACACTTCTACAACAGAACCAAATTATAAAAAAATACCATTTCCAAATCAGACATGCATTGGATATCACATTTTGGATTGTTCATTGTTAGCACAAAGCATATTAAAATCAGTAAGTATTTTCCAAGTCTCATTGACGTACATGACGTAGCACTGTTCATTGAGAGGAATACCTAGGAAGCAGACTTATTGGCAGACAATACAGCGTGAGACTGAGGTAGGCTGCCTAGATTTGAGTCACAACTTTGCCATTTTCTAATGGCATGATCTGGGCAAGTCATTCAGCCTGTGGAAGCCTCACTGTAAAATGTGGTAACGTGTGGGCACTGTGGTATAGTGGGTTAAACCATCAATGAGGATGCCCACATTCCAGATCAATATGCCTGGGACTGATTCTTGCTTCTGCTCCAGATTCAACTTCCTGCTAATGCACCTAGGATATAAGAAATGCAGATGATGGGCCAAGTTACTTGGACCCCTGCAACCCACATGGGGAGACCTGGATGGAGTGAACCAGCAGATGGAAGGTCTCTGTCCACCCCTCTCTCTATGTCATTTTGCCTTTCAAATAAGAATACATATATGCATATATACATACATACACAAATCTTTTTTTTAAATGTTGTAAAAATATCTACCTTTCAAGGACATTGTGAGAATGAAATGAGGTGACATCGATGGGGTATTTAGTGTATTGCCTGTCATAAATGCTCAATAAAAGTGAATTCAGAGATAGAGACTGGGATTGTGCTCTTTGGGCATTTATCAGCTATTGGAAGATATAAGAAATGCATGCACTGATAAAACTGTAAGTCATTATATAACAAAGTGCTGGGGGCCGGAGCTGTGGCACAGCGGGTAAAGCCGCCACCTGAAGTGCCAGCATCCCATATGGGTACTGGTTTGAGTCCCAGCTGCTCCACTTCTAATCCAGCTCTCTGCCATGGCCTGGGAAAGCAGTAAAAGATGGCACAAGTCCTTGGGGGCCCCTGCACCCTTGTGGGAAGACCTGGAGGAAGCTCCTGGCTCCTGGCTTCAGATCGGTGCAGCCCTGGCTGTTGCTGCCAACTGGGGAGTGAAGCAGCAGATGGAAGACCTCTTTCTCTCTCTGCTGCTCCTCTCTCTATGTAACTCTGACTTTCAAATAAATAAATATTAAAAACAAAAAAAACCTGCCAAAGTGACCAGGGTTCCCAATGGTAAACTCAGCAGAGATGCACAGGCAAGTCTTAAGTCAGACCCTAGAGAAAGTCTTAGAGCAAATAGAGACAAAAGACAGAAAAAAGGTGTGCAAAAATGATAGGGGCTGGCATTGTGGTGTAGCAGGTAAAGCTGCCACCTACAGTGCCTGCATCCCATATGGATGCCAGTTCGAGCCCTGGCTGCTCCACTTCTGATCCAGCATCCTTCTAATGCACCTGGGAGAACAGCGGAAGGTGGCCCAAGTCCTAGGGCCCCTGCACCCATGTGGCAGACCTGGAAGAAGCTCCTGGCTTCTGGCTCCTGGCTTCAGATTGGCCCAGTCCCAGCTTTTGCAGCCATTTGGGGAGTGAACCAGCAGATGAAACATCTCTCGCTCTCGCTCTCTTTCTCTGCCTCTCTGTAACTCTGCCCTTCAAATAAATAAAAAAATCTTTAAAAAAGCAATGATAGGAAGAGGTACCTATGTGCTGATTATGAGGGACAATGGATGTATTTTGAGAAGTCAGAGAGTGATTGGACTTGTGTGCAGAGTGGGGATGAGGTAGGCCTGTAGGGTAGACTGAGGGTATCCCTGGATACCATCTTAGTAAACCACAAGGCTCAACTGTGGATTTTTGGATTGGGAGGTGAGACGGATGGGGATATGTGACACAATGAAATTAGCGGTGTAGGAAAAGGTGTGTAAAGAAAAATGTGGAGAGTGGCTAAATCTGTGAGATCAGTTAGGAGTACTGATCAGTTAGGAGCAGTGGCTCCTCTCGAATATTATCCAGTCTTTGTCTTTTACAACATTGACATCTAGGAAGGATACAGGCTCCTTTTTAAAAGCAAAACAGAGAATTCCTCCTTCAGGGTTTACCTGCTATTTCATTAGAGTCTTTACTTCCTCATGGATGTGTGGTCTTTGGGGAGTCATTTCTGGGGACGAGTAAAGTGCATCCGTCCCTCATGTGCGATGTTAGTTGTGCTTGCCTGGTGAGTGCCTGCTCCAGTTTCTCCAGTGTTTACTCATTCCTTCCTTGCAAGTAGTGAGACGTTTGTGGGGAAACACTCACTGACCATGCAAATACCCTGCTCCTCATCAAAAATTCTTCCCACACTTAGATCTGTAGATGGTCTTGCCTTACCTAGTCTTTGACATCATAGTTGGAAAATGATGATTCTCTAACACCTACAGTCCCTCGACATTCTACCACAAGCAAGAGATCTTTTTCTTCATTTATTTTTATCTATTTATTATTGTTGTTTTATTTTTTTTAAAAAAGGATTTATTTATTTATTTGAAAGTCAGAGTTACACAGAGAGAAGGAGAGGCAGAGAGAGGGAGGTCTTCCATCCACTGGTTCACTCCCCAGTTGGCCACAAGGGCTGGAGCCACGCCAATCCGAAGCCAGGAGCCAGGAGCTTACTCCAGGTCTTCTTACACGAGTGCAGGGGCCCAAGAACTTGGCCAACTTCTACTGCTTTTCCAGGCCATAGTAGAGAGCTGGATTGGAAGTGGAGCAGCTGGGACACAAACCAGCACCGCTACACCACAGGGCCAGCCCCTCTTGTTTTTCTTTAAAAATTCTAACCTGCTTTGAGATGCAGGATATATGGAAAGCAAACTACTGTGATGAGCATTACTGATGAGGGCCCTTTCCTCCCATTTTATAAAGGAAGTAGAATACAGTAATAATTCACTTGTCTGGAAAAAAAATTTGCCTAAATGCAATTATCCAAAATACAGAGGAAAAATGAAGGTAGGAGAATGGCCTTTATACTAAGTAGATGCACCCCCAAATCAGAGTCCTTTTAGCATTTTGAAATGTTATATATTTGCCCACCAACAGCAGGGGCTGGGCCAGTATGAAGTTGGGAGCCAGGAATTCGACCCAGGTCTCCCACGTGGATGGCAGGGACCCCACATACTTGAGCCATCACCTGTTGCTTCCCAGGCTCTGCGTTAGCAGGAAGCTGGAATTGGAAGTAGAACTGGGACTTGAACTCAAACAGTCTGATATGGGATACAGGTGTCCCAAGAGGTTGCACCAAGACATATCTTAACTCTTGCACTAAACTCCAGCCTCTATTTTAGTGGAAAAAAAATTTAAATCCATGCATAGTTTTTTCATGATATGCATTTTCCATGAGTTTTTCAGAGATCTCTCCTATTAATTCAAGAACTGTTTCTAGGACTTCAACACGAAAACCTTAGTTATCTAACTCCTCCCTCCCCTTCCAGTCAGATAGACTAGGCATTCCGGAAACTATCTTTAAAGTTAATATTGAAAAGTATTAGCGTATGTAAATATTTATTTACACACTAACTACTCTCTTCAAGAGTTGATCCAGAGAAACATTAATCACTGTTAAGTAAATAAATCCCTGCTGAGTCACATTCAACATGGAGCTGGTCTGTGAGAAGTGACTTCACAGTAAATATAAAATGCAAAATGCTCCTGTTTGAACAGACCATTGATCATCTTTGTCCTTGTATCTGCAGAGCGGTAGCGTGTCTCATGACTGAGGGTCATGGCGGGTGCTTCTTGTACCTTCCTTTCAGTTTTCTGGAGAACGTCCCCTTACGTACGCTTCCTCTCGAAGTGAATTTTGGGCATGTTACTTGCCTACACTATAAATCAGAACACTGCAAACCTAACTCACATATTTTTTTCTTCCAAATGTCCAGCTATTATAAATATTCGGGAGAAAAAAGGAGATTAGAGTTTAGACAAGTAGGCGTGGTGCTGGGGTGTGCTGGTCCTGAAATGCTGGTTGTAATAGAAGTGTTTACTGAGACAAGCAGCTTTGTGAGCATGGTGCTTTGATTTTGTTTTGTCAGCTGCAGCGCAGTGACTGATGTGTGCATCTGCTTTATTGCCATGGTGGTCTCTTGTCTTTGAACTGTTTGTTCCATATCTAAATTACCTCCTTGGCTTACCCCCTTGGAAGTAATTTTGATGGAAAGTAATAAAACTATTACATAATGGTGATTCCTCTGAAATGACTTTTAAGCATATTGAATTCTCATTGATTTCTGTTTTCTGTAATGGCATGTCTATTTTATACATTAGCACTTTGTTATACCAAGACTGCATATTTCTTGTCTTTTGGCAAAAGCAAAGGGAACCCACAGAATGACTTACAGAATTTAACTTGGATAAAAGAGCTCTGGTAAAGACAGCGTGGTACCCAGCCTCCGTAAGTGTAAAAAGCCCTTTCTTTGACTTACATAGCTAATGGATGGGAAGGGACAGTGACTTTGTAAAATCATTCCCATGCCACCTCAGCAAGAAACAGGCACTGAGAATGACCTTTCCCCCATACCTTCATATACAAATTCTTCATCTTACCAAGTTTGGAAATTTAACTTAACACAACTCTTAAGGCAAATAAAAGTATTATTTTACAGATTATCAAGATGAGAAATAGATCTTGGGTAATTAGTCAAAACTTAGAAACTCAGTGGGCAAAAGAACTTCACATATCTATGGCCTAATTCACGAATCACACGACTTTCTTCTCTTCAAAGTGTAAATGAAGGACCTAGCTTTGTGGTATAGCAGGTTATAGCCTCCGTCTATGATGCCAGCATCCCAGGCGTGCCAGTTCTTTTGGTTGCTCCACTTCTGATCCAGCTCCCTGTTAACATGCCTGGAATAGCAGTGGAAGATGGCCCAAGTGCTTTGGCCCCTGCACCCACGTGGGAGACCTGGATGCAGTTCCTGGCTCCTGGCTTTGGCCTGGCCCAGCTCTGACCATTGCAGCCG